TACGACGAATCTTTGACCTAATGCTAGGGTAAAGGGCATTTTCGTCCACGGCGGGACACCTAGGCTATTAGGGTTTTTGAAACGGTCAAAAAATAGGGTTATTGACTCAACGGTCAAACGGCTAGACCTAATTCCTTCGGAGGGATTCTAACGGTAAAAACATGCAAAATACGACAAATTACTATTCGGCAGAATTAAAGTGCGGAAAAATAAAGAAAGCGGTAAAAGAAAGCATCACGACGATCACTCGCGTAAATTACAAATCCCCAAAAAAGGAAGATAAAATAAAACCGCGACCATGGCCTCGCGTAAATTACATCCATGGAACAAAATACAAATATGATAATGAAATATTTAACTAATGATAAATGAAGTTAAACTCAATCAGCTGAAAAAAATCGGAGAATGTTAATAGGATTAGACAGAAATAAAGCGGATAATGAGATAGTGAAGAGAAAGTTGCTAATTTGATATTGTTTTATTTCTTTAAAAAAAAAAGATTTCGGTTTTAACTTTGAAAAAAATGATTTTTGTCTTAATTGTCATATTTGTCTTAATTATCTCATGGCTACTCTTCACCGCATTCTGGACGTCTAACAACGTCGATTTTAACTTGTGGCGGTTAAATCTCTCTTAAAATGAAGACACATCTCGTCTCCTAAAATCAATCAATCAACTACCCTAAACCTGTAGGAACTTTGACCACAGTCAAAGAACTCCTCAAACCCTTTAGGGGAACTACAGATACTCTGATTCCATTCCCGTCAGGATATGTAGGCACAAGATGCGACGTCTTGGCAAGTATACTTAGAAACAATCTCCTAGGTCTTTAAACCTTTAAGCAGATATAAACACTTAGCAATAAACAATATAAAACAAGAGGTTCCTGTAGAGTACTACAGAAACTTAGGATGCTAGCACCTTCCCTAAGTTTAACCGACCCCCGAACCTATAACTCTCTAAACCTTGCATTTGCATTGCATTGTGGGAATTTCGATCTTTATCCCTTCCTTTGGACAAATCAAAGTTCGGTTGCAAATTGAATTAAAGATTCAAACTAATTAATAGTTTGGTATCCAAATTTCACCGAGACAATAGCTATACAATTCAAATCATTATTTTTAAAAATTTATTTCAACTAGCCGACTACTCGTGCAATGTTCTATTTAAAAATTTCTTTCTAATACTTAATAATTTTTTTACGTATTAAAAAATAAAATAAATGACTTTAATGGAAAACAAATAATTCTTTTAAAGAATTTACTTTAACTAGTCGACCACCGATGTAATATTCTATTTAATTTTATAGAATCATTTTTTGTTTATCAAAATTTATAAATAAATCATTTGTAATATAACATAGGGTAAATAGTAAAATATAATATAATTTTATACACAATTGAAATTTTAATATACACGTGACTTAATTTTATCTTTTAATCCGACCATTCTAACAACACAATCTATTCGAAAAATATAAAAGTTGTGTAAAAAATAATTTAAAAGGATCTCTTTTTCAATAAAAAAATAATTTTAAAATTTAATATAGATTTGAACTTTTCTAATTAATAAAAATGATAATTATATTTTAAAAAAATATATGTAAGTGATAATTATCCAATGTGTATGGTGCTGCATAGAAAGTTTAAAATGATAATTATCCAATGTATCATTAATGTAAGTGATATATGATAATTATCACTTAAAATATATGTAAGTGATGATTTAAAATGATAATTATCCAATGTGTATGGTGCTGCATAGAAAGTGAGGGGTGTTTGATATAAACCTCTATGTTTAATTTGGGCCAACCGTTAAAGATGAGACCCAAAATGAGATTGAAATCTTGTGATCCAAGACATCGTTATTTGCTTCATTAGTCACAAATTCTTAAAAATCATTTCATTAATGACAAATCCTGAAAAAAAAATTGTTTTGTTGGGCCTTCTAGATTTGTTTCGGCCCACGAACGGTCACAAAAAAGTTTGTCACCAATAGCTTGTATAAATAAGCTTTCCCGCTATCACTAACCTTCATTCTTTCTCTCTCGATCTTTTTCTTCAACACTTTACAATCAATGCCATATAGATCTTTCGTTCAACACTCTCTAGGATCAATTCTGTGAATTTGTGTTGTTTGGTGTAACAAGAATGACGATACCACTTTCAATCGTTGATGATGTTGCTATCTTTGATTTAGGTCAACAACATCACCGCCACTTTCAATCCTGAAAAAATCGTTAATTTATTTTTGAAAGCAGAAAAAAAATGAAAGTACTAATAGTTATTCATAAAATATATATTAATAATTATACTATTAAAAAGACATATGGCATGATAATGAGAATATATGGGGACTCAACCATATTTTCCAGAGATACGTTACTGCGCATTTGGCAACGGAACGCCGGATGGATGGTGTTTAGTTGACTTGACCCGTTGGAAACCTAAAGCCAAATTGTTGGAAATGTCAAAGGACATTCGCAACTAGTAGAGTAGTAGTAATACCATACCACCCTTTCTTTAACATATACACTAATTAATTCAGCCGAATCGTAAACACGAACAAAAGAAATCAAAGAACCAATGACGGTCGGTGTGGGCGACGCGGCGTCGGTACCCCAAAACAAAAGAAATCTCAGCACAAACCCGCCCTTCCTTCATAAACACGAACCAAATCCGGTCTCACAACCCCTATAACTAAACCCTAACCTTCCTCGACAGACGAAGATTGGAAACAAAAACCATAAAGAAAATAGATCCAATTTGAAAACGTAGTAAACAAAACAAATCACAGAGGAATCAGAAATAAATGAGATGAACAAATAGGTGAAGTGATTACCTTAGGGGCCGTGCTATGATCCCTCCCTCAAAATGAAAGTTTTTTTCCTCTTTCTTCGTTTTCTACCTCCTCCCTTGAATTTTGATGTCTGTGAATTAGGTGTGTGCTTAGGGTTTATTCACATGATGGTGGCTGCCTCCAATATTGTGGCTTTCGTGTGTAGAAAATACTTAGGTTTTTTCTGTGAAATAAAGCATTATATATACCCCAAAATGCTAGGGTTAGCAGACAATACTTGCCATAATTCTAAAATTTTGTTCTGCTCTCGTTGTGTGGTTCCTGTTGTAGCTTTTTTTCTTTTTTCTGTTTTTGTGTTAAGGCTAGTGTACTAGGAACTTTTGTTGTTGCTTTTGTTTTTCCATTTTACATATTCTGAGTGTGTGTGGTCCCTTTACTTGTTGTTCAAAATGTGCTACTTGCTATACACACTATGTGGTTGCTGCTTGACTGTTATTCATAACACTGGCTGCTTGCTTGAATGTTAGAACTATGAATATGAATGGATATGTAACGTAGAGACTTGATAGCTTTTGAATGAAAGAGATATCTTGGATAAATTTGCATTTTCTTTTAAGCTTATTTGGATTGAAATATGAGTTTGAACTTCTTGGTGAAATATGAAATTGTCCTGCTATTCTATTTTGGTATTGTCTTAAATTAAGTAGAATAGGATAGAAAACTTGATTCTTTTTTGCTTTCTTGATATAGGAACTTGACTTCTTGAGTTTTAAATTGTTGATGATTTGAAATTGATATGAACCGTGGCGTGGCTTGATGTTTGAATGAATTCGGACTAAAGATTTGGAGACGATTTAATGAACATGAATTGATATAGAGTAAATGACTTGCATTAGATTTGCTTTAGAAGTTTTGTTGAAGACATTGGGATGAACAAAGGCTTATGCCATGATGTTACCTTCTTGAGTGTGAATTTGTGTGTGGACTTTGATAAAATTAGGTATAAATAATTTTTTTTAATTTTTTAATAAAAATTGCATTTAATGAAATCACGTGTTGCTTGTTTTTTCTCTCTCTTTCAATGGACCTTATATTTTAGATGTTTTTTCTTTGAATTTTTTTTATTTTTTAAAATTGATTCTCAAAAGAGTCTTATTCTATTCAATATTGTAATATTGTTAAGTGATGAGTTGTGAATAAAAGAGCGAGAAGTTGAGATTATATATATTTTTCTTGAATTGACTATTACTTAAACTGAATTAAAGAGTTGTTGTAATCCACTGTACTATTAGAGCATGCTAATGCTGTGTGACCTGATACCTCCGACCGAAATTGTTGCGTATTATTTTGTATAATTTCGTCACACACATTTTATATATTAATATCCTGTGTACTATAGAATACATGTCTTTTAAATTTAAATTATTTTCATGGCATATTTGTTTGCACCAGTTTCATGGCATATTTGTTTGCACCAGTTTCATGGCATATTTGTTTTATAAAAGTGGTAAAATTTTATAAAGAGATAATGTTGATTTGGTCGGTTGAACCATGTTACTGCCTTTGAACTATTTTCCTGATTTAAAATTTTAGTTGTTATTCAATTAATATTATTCTTAAAGTGATTATTAACTTAGGTTTAAAGTGATTATTAAATGTTACTCTTAAAACCAGAAATAGATTAATCAATTAGAACTATTAATTGATTTAGTGATAGATGATTACATTTTTGTGGTTTAAAAATTAACTAGTGTTATTATCTATTTTTTAATGTCGAACATATCTAAAGAATTAAAGACTTGTTTTCAAAAGTCTATTTTTGATGTCGAACACATCTAAAGAATTAAAGATTGGTTTTTAAAAGAATGAATTTTACATCAAAATATTGAGAATAATAATCGATTTAATTTATTGTAAAACTAATAAATCACTAATAAAATATACGCAATTACCATAGATGAAAATCACCATATTCAAAATAAGACCTAATTTCTTTTAATCTCTAATACAATTTCTCTTTTTTATTTTCTTTTCTATTTACAAACGAAACGTTTATAAAAATCCCTCAATTTATGAAGCCCAAGTAATGGATAAATTTTCTCTTTTTACAAACCAAACCCTCATTTTATCTTCTAACTAGAACTATAATTGCTCCGAATCAAATTAATCTCAGCCGTTGTAGAAACAAACATTTTATTAGAATGCAAAGTCCACAAAAAACATGGCATCGTATTCAACAGGGTCAAAGCACCAAAAGAAGCAGTGTTCAAAACAAATCACAACGTACTTCTCTTCGTCGACTTCTCTTCGTCGACTTCTCTTCGTCGACCTTGTCTCAATTTCTTCGATTCTGCTTGAACCAGGTTTGTGGATTTGTTTATGATTCGTATTTCGTCGCAATGTACTTCTTCTTTCTTTTTCGACTGATTCTGTTCTTGGTTTGGGTTAGGTTTGTGAACCAGTTTCTCCCTTCATCTTCCTATTTTCGACTGATTCTGTTCTTGGTTTGGGTTAGGTTTGTGAATCAGTTTCTCCCTTCATCTTCCTATTTTCGACTGATTCTGTTCTTGGTTTGGGTTAGGTTTGTGAATCAGTTTCTCCCTTCATCTTCCTATTTTCGACTGAGATCACCGTTCAAGAACCAAGATTGACTTCAGCCGAATCGTAGTTCGGTAAGGGTAACAGGTATTTGTGATTTCTAAATCATATACTGCATTTTGTTTCATCTTGGAAATCATTGAAATATGGTCTGTGGTATTGTTGAATTTTGTAGCGTGTAGTATAGAAAACTGTTACCGATTGATCATAAATGGCACCATCCAATCCGAAAGTTAAAGCGGCTTTCCGCGCAATGACGATCATTGGCATTCGACTGCATTGTCTTGTTCTTCAACACTCACAGGTTCAATATTTTCTTTACTGTTTCGTCTCTTTAACTTTCGTTTATTGTTTTCACTTCAATTTTTTCACTCTTCGTTTCCGACAATTACTTTACGTTTTTCGTTCTCCGACGATTACTTTAGGTTTTTCTTTTGTCCTTGATCGTTTATAGGTTTCAATTGTTGCATTAATCCTTGCCGTTAAGATCACCGTTCAAGAATCAAGATTGACTTCAGCCGAATCGTAGTTCGGTAAGTGTAACTGGTATTTGTGATTTCTAAATCATATACTGCATTTTGTTTCATCTTGGAAATCATTGAAATATGGTTGTGGTTTTATTGAATTCGTGTAGTATAGAAAACTGTGACTGATTGATCATAAATTGCACCGCCCAATCCGAAAGTTAAAGCGGCTTTCCGCGCAATGACGAACCTTCGCATTCATGAATCCAAAGTGAAACCAGTGTTAAAGTTGGAGCTGGTAAAATTGTATGAAGGAAACTGGGAGCTTATTGTAGATGCTATTTTTGATGTGGAAGATAATCTACAGGAAGATAATCAGGTGTATCCTATTTCCTGCATTAACACTTATTTGTTTTATTTATGGGTCTATTCTATGAAATTTACTCTCATTTCACATGCATAATGCTTGTTAATTGTTATTATATAAAAATGCCACATTTGTCTGTGTTTCTTTCTTACTGTTAATTCTCTAGTTGCTGAAATGAATTATGGTTTTTCAAATATGCCTTAAACTATGGAGAAAGAGCTCTTTGTAGGATTTAGTTAGGGGAGGCTCACACTGCTCTGTTTAAAGACTTAACAACTTGACACATAGGATACACACTGCATATGCTAATAAGTTCCTGTGCCCGAAACTGGAGGAACAAGTTCCTGTGCCCGAAACTGGAGGAACAGTAGATGTCTTCACCATTAGTACCAGGTTGGACTCATTACAAGTGAGATCCCGTCAGGGGAAAAGGTGGAGCATCTTGCAAAATTGTGTATAATAAAAAGTTCCTGTGCCCGAAACTGGAGGAACAAGTTCCTGTGCCCGAAACTGGAGGAACAGTAGATGTCTTCACCATTAGTACCAGGTTGGACTCATTACAAGTGAGATCCCGTCAGGGGAAAAGGTGGAACATCTAGCAAAAATGTGTATAATAAAAAGTTCCTGTGCCCGAAACTGGAGGAACAAGTTCCTGTGCCCGAAACTGGAGGAACAGTAGATGTCTTCACCATTAGTACCAGGTTGGACTCATTACAAGTGAGATCCCGTCAGGGGAAAAGGTGGAACATCTAGCAAAAATGTGTATAATAACAAGTTCCTGTGCCCGAAACTGGAGGAACAAGTTCCTGTGCCCGAAACTGGAGGAACAGTAGATGTCTTCACCATTAGTACCAGGTTGGACTCATTACAAGTGAGATCCCGTCAGGGGAAAAGGTGGAACATCTAGCAAAAATGTGTATAATAAAAAGTTCCTGTGCCCGAAACTGGAGGAACAAGTTCCTGTGCCCGAAACTGGAGGAACAAGTTCCTGTGCCCGAAACTGGAGGAACAGTAGATGTCTTCACCATTAGTACCAGGTTGGACTCATTACAAGTGAGATCCCGTCAGGGGAAAAGGTGGAACATCTAGCAAAATTGTGAATAATAATAAATGCATGTGCAATCCTAAATATTCAATGAACAAAAAGTCTATAACAGAGCAGTTAAACCCCCCTTCTAAAACTAAAAGATAAACTCTTGGACCATAGGACGAGGCAGCCAAAGTTAAATTTAGGCTAGCTATCTTAATTGAAGAGTATTAATGTAAATTTAGGCTAGCTATCTTAATTGAAGAGTATTAATGTGATAGGTAACTGAAAAGTATTTGTTACTTTCCCTTTTTGATGTCCTAGCTTCAGGAACAAAAGGATGATTTGGGCACTTCGGAACTGTCATCCATCTTCACCTGGCTTTTGTACTTTGGAAGACTGGTGTTCTTTAGACACTTTGGAAAATTTCAAGATGATTTCTAGATGGTGAGTGTATTGCACTCTGAAAATCTTTGTTTCATGTAGCTAATTTTGTTAGTTGTCCGGATTAGGAATTTCAAGTTTTTGTTTTGTTTTGATTTTTGTCTGATTGTGAATCTTTGTTTCTTGTAGCTAACTTGCTGCTGGGCTATCACTATATGTTTTGAAGATTCTATTCACTACAAAGTTATATAGAATTAGTGGCAGTATGTTTTTATCTAGCCTTTGATGAACATGCTTTTGAGAAGATGAAGTAGAGATTTTGAGAAGATGCAGTTCTCGAAATCTTGCTTTACTTTTTCAAAATTATTACATTTCTATGTTATTTGTAATGATATATTATTAAATTGAAACTATTAATATATGATATATGTTGTTGTTCTATTGCAGTTCTCGAATTCTTTGTTGTTCTATATACTGCAGTTCCATTAATACATGCTTTAGGGTGGATGAAAACCCTGTACCGTTTGATAAGGATGAAACGGACGGCACTCGATCGTGGAGACATACTCTTAATGTGAATTTTATTGCTGTTTTTGACACTACCCGCCTTGCGGTAAGCTTGAAATTTGTCCTGGTTTTTTTTCACGTATCACATTATCGATCACACAGTTAAGAAAAAAGGGGATTGAAACTTTTTGTTGTTGATTGTGTGCTTTTAAATAGATTAAAAGCATGGCAGCGTTGAAAAGGCCTGGGGTGATCATCAATTTGGGTTCTGCTTCGGGTCTTTATCCGATGTATCTTGACCCTATCTACAGTGGCTCTAAAGGTTTGTCATTTAACAATCAATTATGCATCTCCACAAAACTTATACTAACTTACTATCATTTTTTGTTTTCCCAAAAATTAACTTACTATATAGTTTACTAAACTGTTTCTTCGCTTCATAGGTGGTGTTGTTATGTTTACTAGAGCACTTCGTTTATACAAACGTCAAGGAATTCGAGTCAATGTGCTTTTCCCTGAGGTAAGAGTTGTTTTTGGACTTGAAAATTTTGATATTTTCAAAATAAATTCTACTCTACATTAGAGTTTACTATAATTAATCCCTGAAATATTAATGTTTAGTGCAGTTTGTTGAAACTGAGATGGGCTTAAAGGTGGATCCCAAATTCCTTAATATGATGGGGGGCTTTGTACCTATGGAAATGGTGGTGAAAGGTTAGTCTGCATATCATTTTGTTATTTGGTGTGCCTTGGCAAAAAGAGCATGAGTGTTTGTACTTTGTAGACTCTTAATTCACAATAAAGATGAGTTATTTTAAATTGACTGTGTGTTCTCATGGTTTTGTTCATTTTAAGATGAGTTATTTAGTTGTTTCATATTGCTGCTTACTGTTTGCAGAGTTGTTCATACCTTGACTCACAACTTTCAGAATGCTACCGGCTTAGTGAGAGCACCACTGAGATTACCTATCAAATCAAACTTTGTTCTTGTTAAGATAATTTATGCTGGTGTAAATGCTAGTGATGTAAGTTTTTACATATTTCTAGAAGATTTGTGTGTGAATTTATTTTCTAGCTACAATTCTGACAAGAATTTGTATTGATAGGTAAAATTTGAGCTTGTACTTTGTAGACTCTTAATTCACAATAAAGATGAGTTATTTTAAATTGACTGTGTGTTCTCATGGTTTTGTTCATTTTAAGATGAGTTATTTAGTTGTTTCATATTGCTGCTTTATGTTTGCAGAGTTGTTCATACCTTGACTCACAACTTTCAGAATGCTACCGGCTTAGTGAGAGCACCACTGAGATTACCTATCAAATCAAACTTTGTTCTTGTTAAGATAATTTATGCTGGTGTAAATGCTAGTGATGTAAGTTTTTACATATTTCTAGAAGATTTGTGTGTGAATTTATTTTCTAGCTACAATTCTGACAAGAATTTGTATTGATAGGTAAAATTTAGCTCAGGCCGCTATTTTGGTGTCAATAACAATGATACTGCGGCCCGTCTTCCATTCGATGCAGGATTTGAGGTATGATGTATCCCCAAACATAGATTTCTTTTATGAAGCTGATCACTTGATGCAGAATGCCTATACTCATATGTGTGCTGAATTTCATTTATATTTTAGGCCGTGGGAATCATTGCAGCAGTTGGGGACTCGGTCAATGACTTGAAAGTTGGCATGCCGTGTGCATTCATGACTTTTGGAGGTTATGCTGAATTCACAGAGGTGAGCAGTGGTTTTATCTCGTTGATTCCGGTTTCGTCGCATTTTAGTTTTCGCATTGATTTGGTAACAACGGCTGATTATAGGTTTACTCTCAGATTTATCATTGGTGCTGCGATTGAATGTTGGTTAAGTTACTTTGAGGTTATTAAATAGGATATGATATTATGGATTGAATGTTGGTTAAGTTACTTTGAGGTTATTAAATCGGATATGATATTATGGTTTTCTGGTTTCTAGTTATCTCAGTCATGTTCATACTAAACTTTTAGGACTTGATTTTAAGAATTCTTTTTGAAATTTGATGATGGGTTTTACTGCTTGTATGACTTTCAGTTGTAATTATCTTTATAAGTTGCTTATGGCATCCGACTGAACCGGTTTCGGTTTTACTGCTGTTCATTCAATAGATATGTTTCCTATAGTTTTTTGTTTCCTATACAGTAAGTGCTTATGTGGTGTAGGTTTATGATGATATCTCTAGTTCCTAACTAATCAGGATTTTGGTGATGTAGCACCCTTTTATTTGAAGGCTAATTTGATTAATCTTTTATTGTGAATTTACTCTATTATTTGAAGGCTAGTTTG